ACAAGTTTGAGTGGGAATGGAATAAAGGAGGGCACATATGCAATGTTGATGTGACTGAATTAATGGCTGCCCCCCTGCAAAGAAGGTCACAGGTGGCTAATTAATACTACTGGTATCTTGTGTTTTAGGCACGATGGCAATAAAATAAATGATGAATCTAAGCCTACTTATTAGCTATTGGCCCCAAGTTCTCTCACCACTGCAATGCAAATCAAAATGAGGCTACTACATGGTTTGTGAAAGAAAATTAGTTTCTATAAGAAAGAAATTATGTGTATTTATACCAATTTGTAATGGTGTTTGTTGAGGTTTATATTACTTAGGAAAGGAAAAGGAGTTTACTTTAAAACTCACACCATCACAATGAGTAAGAGGAGAAAAACCAAGGAAACCAAGGTGAGAGTTTGGTGAATCCTACTGTGGGCCTCAGCTCAAACCTGATACTTAAATATCAGATCTAGATTTCTTAATGGGATTGACTTGAATAAATAGGCTTAGATTTGCCATCATTTATTTTATTGCCAACAATACCTACAACACAAGATACCAATTGTATTGATAGTAGTGCTGATAACACGGAAGTCATGGGTTCGATCCCCATATGGGCCACCAAGTTGCGATGTGAAGAACTGAAATTAGGGATGTTGGATGGACGAGAGAGGACGAAAGAAAGCCAGGGGACGGCAGGGAATTGAACCTGGGCCTGCTGATTGCCAGTCAGGTGTGCTATCATTACACCATCGAACCTGAGATATTCCATCATGCCTCTCAACAATGCCTACACCACAAAAGTGTTTCCTTAGAATACAGATATTCCAATGCAAGATGCAGAGGCTTTTCTTATGATATTTTGGATCTGAGAGACTTTCAAGAAAGAAAGAGAATTCTTGAGAGGAGGAGAAAATATGGTTAGGACTACCTTCTAATTGAAAGGGTATAATAAACTAATGCTGAAATCAACTACTCAATACTTGTTGTCACAGAATTTGGGATTCTGATTATTAACAGACCTGATGCCCATAGGATCTGATTAACATCATCTTTGGAGCAAACCTGGAATGCCTGAGACCCTTCTTGTCTTCGGAGAAAGATATTTCCAAACGAAACCTTAAGATACTTTCATCCATAGGTCTGTTTCTTTTGAAATACCTGACAAAGAAGGGTTTTGCTTTGTTTTGTAAGGTGATCTTTGATAAGTAGCCTTGTGGACTGAGGTAAACTAGTCTCCTTTTCATTAAACATGCTGGCATCCAGCTTCTTTATCCTTGACCTTAAATATACATCATTTCTTTCACATCAACTGATAAACCTTACAACAATTTACATGAGTATTTAATGGCATAGATATCAGGTCTTTACCTACATGTCACTATTGGCACCAGCACCAGCACTGGCCAATGGGATGGAGATCACCATCACCCATAGGCCCATTGGCCTGAAGGGGCTACTGGTGCAGCTCTAAATATGATACATGCCTATTAACATGTTTGTGTCAAAGCATTGCATGTCGAAGATCCAGTATTCATCATGTTATTACACTGATAGACCCACAATAGGACAATCATAGAGGAATACTTCCAAGGGAATCTACAGTAGTCCATGAAACAATGATTTTGGATTTTTCTTGTTTCCACAGTCAAGACATGTGCAATGCCAAATTCCCATTGCCAGCAATAGCCTTGCTAACTTGACTTTAGTGCCCTGGAGCCATGCCAAATTAATCTGCTTCCCTTTCTCCCCCCCTCAGAGCATTGGAGAAAACAAGAAAATACTGCATGCAAACAAGGCAGATTTGAAGATACCCACCCAGAGGATGAATGAAATCCTGAACCCCAATCTAGAGAGGACAGAGAGGATCTTAAGATTGGGGTCACTGCTGTTAGACGATCAGATTGAGAAACTGTCACCATCTTCAGAAGAAATCACCAATCCAGAATAGTAGGCCAAAAAAAAAAAACAGAATCTGTGAAGTAAAAAAGGAGTTACTAGAGTGCCTTGATACCTCACTAAAGCATAAATGAAAAATGTTGATATGAAATATTATAAAATATTAATAAATACTGTGAACCACTTTCCAAAAACATCAAAGTCATCAAGGCCCTTTCAAAGCAACCACTCCAAAAATTGCCAAATTAGCAACATCTAGCAATCTAGCAACAAGAAAACTTTGGCTTACTGTCGAGGTGCAATTTGTCTTCAGTCATGGAATGACTTTCCCTTTGTCCAAGGGTAGGGGTATTTAAGGAGAATGACTACAAAGTCTGAAGCAATTGCTATGAGAAAGTCACTGGCCACTGAAAGAAACCTTCATTGTGTTCCTGCTATACATTTCGCAAAAATATTGACTATTAATGCATGTAACTGCATCTCTTACATGACTTTAAAATAAATTTTGAAAACATGAAGGTTTCAACATGAGTTAATGGTGTCTCAATGGTGCATCAAAGCCTCTGCAAAATATATGTAAATAAAACATGGTGAGTACTGGGATGGAAAGGAAGCAGATTGCTTTGGAATAGCACATGTGTTGAGCCAAGCATCATTCAAGGCATCCTCTGCACTGTTCCCCAGTTTCACGCAGGAAGTGTTGCAGAAGCCGGTGCAAGTAAGGAGGGGGAGGAGAAATAAAAGCTTTTCCAAAGTTGCTCTCACGATTGTGCTGCTCTGGTGTCCTTCCCTCTGCATTTGCTCTTTCCATTCCTTTATCTGAGCTCCGTGGAGCTCCTCGGTTCACCAACATGCTACTTGCACGCAGCCTGCCAACTTCCCCTAATTGGGGGGAGGTATGACATCCATTGCTTTTTCCTCAAAGGAAACATGGGCTTATTTCCAGTTTCTACCATGAGGGTGGAGGAAGGTATGACCACCATGAAAGGATTTTAGAGCCATCGATGCCTCACGTACCAATAATGACAACAATACATTAATTGAGGCATCATGATACATTCTATTTTTCTCATCAATACTATGAAACATTTATCAAGCTGCATCCACAAGAAAATTTTTAAAAACATTTTCATCCCCATACCCTTCACACAATGTCCTATGTCCATTGAGCACTCAAATCATGGGGGTCAAAAGGGTTACTTTTCTCCATTCAGCACATACTCCCTTAGTCATTGTCATTGGCAACCAGCAGGATGCATACCTGGCCATGGCACAGGCACCAAAAGTGCCATACTGGCAGCCGATACCAATGGTTGCCAATCCATTCACACAGCCATTTTACTTTTGACTAAGTCCTGTGTGGCAGGAGGGTAGAATGAGGTTGGGTGCATCAGCTCTGCATTTAGAATGTATAATTTATGGAACCCTATCCATCAAACAACTTCCATATAAGACATGCAACTTGAAATCATCCTATTAGCACTTTCTAAATAATCTTTAGGACAAGTGGGCAATTTAAGTGAACAGGGCTATGAACCCAGAAAGATCATCTACCATTCCAATTCATTGCATAAAGCATGTCCACATGTGGCACAATATCTACCTTACTGATAAATGGAATTGAAAAGTATTCAGTTCCTAAAAGATGATTACAAATAGGAACAAGAATACAATTAATATAAAGGTTGAAAAGAGGTTGATTCAAAAAACTCAGTCACAAGTTGATTGTACAAATTTGAATATGACAAAATGGGAACATAACAGACCCTTGCTTTAGAGGCCCATGAATTGATTGCTCTGAAGGAAACTTTGAAATGGCAGGCAGGATGATTCATCAATAAATCTAATAGTTGACACAGCTCACAACAGCAGAGACCACAATTACTCAACATTAGTCAAGCAAATGTTGTTTATCTAAAGCTTACAACATTGATATGATCTCGTTTGAAATGAAATGGATGTCGTCAAGAAAATGTTCTCAACTTGCAAATGATCTTAGCTGCAATGCAATCCAATCGGTCATGAATGATAGCCAATAAAAAGGCAGACAGGGCCCATGGGAAAATCTATATTAGACCATTACATATTTTTAGCATGTTAGTAAAAATCTTGTTTCATGCAGGAAGGGTTACATTCTCTTCCACTTAGGGCCTATAGCACTAATTTGTGGATTCCATGCATTTATATTGCTTGTGATGAACATTCCAGGGAAGATCACAGACAGCAGCTAACATCTTAGAAATCCCTGAGGGAAACTTCCTCATCTGGGAATTTCAGGAAGCTTCAGGAAGCAGCTAAAGTGTCTGAATGAGTGCCAGATGAGAAAGATTCAGGAAATTCCATGGACACAATCTACTTTGACTTGGCAGAGCCTTTTAGATATTGCTTCTCGCAAGAGTCTGCAGGGGATATAAGGTGGGAGAGCAACTGAATAACTAACAGGTTGCTGGGAAGAAAGTGGAACGTGATTGTACACAGAGAAGCATCGGAAGAAGTTCGGGTCACAAACGGAGTCTTTGGGTTCCTTCCCTCCTTGCTCCTTCGATTCTGAGAATTCCTTTTCTCACCATAACTGCTCAAAACCTGCCCAGAGATCGATCTGCTCATCTCGGGCGTCCAACCTTTAACGAGATCTCATCTTTCTGATGGCATAAATTGTGACACTCTGGTCACCTAGTGTGACTGGTAGTACAGGGAGTAGGAATGGAACACTTGAGTGGTTTTGAGCAAAATGCCAGTCACAGGAGCTCAATGACAAATCTGAAAAAGAGCACCTTGACTTGTACTTACTGTCTTCCAGCAGCACTCTTAAATCAGCCTGACCCCCCCCCCCCCTTCAAGTGTAAAATCCCAACTGGAATATTCCAGCTGTAAATTCGGGACATTTCGAGCTGCCAAAGCGCTGGAAAATAGCAGGTACCAGTTGTTTCTTAGCTCGAATTTTCCAACTGGAATGCAGCTGGTTTTAATAGCTGTTTCCAGCTGGAAATTTCCCAGTTGGAATAACTGGAATACAGCTGGTTTTAATAGCTGTTTCCAGCTGGAAATTTCCCAGTTGGAATTATATAAAGAGGACCCTACAGCTGGAATGTAGCTAAATTTACAGTTGAAAATCAGCTGTTCCTGTAGATGTACCTCTGACAAAAATAGTCAACAAAAAGATTATCATTCAGCTAGTGATATAGCAATTAGGAACAAATTTGGAGATAACTTTTCAGTTCTTATCCAGTTGGAATGGGTCCAAATTTACAGCTGGAGTCCAGCTGGAAATTATAGCTGTTTCCAGCTGGGATTTTAAACTGGGGCATGATAGAATAGACCTAAACCTATCTTAGAAAATGCAGCACATCCAGCACCTAGCTAGAAAGAAGTTACTTCTGTGAGGGGAATCCATTATGCCATCTGTATGAGATGGTCCCATGCACTTCAACAGTCTAGAGCAATGAACTGGAGGATTGTGAAGAGGAAAAACACAATGCAAAGCTGGGAATGGAATAACTTGGCCAAAGAAATACTTTCAGAGAATAATTTTACCCACAGTTGTTGCACTCTGTTATCACAGGGTCTTGATATAGGCCTAAGCTTGATGGTGATGAAAGAGAACACAGAATGAAGCCTGCACATGAAGGAAACTTATAGGCACATTGAGGCAAGCTTCAGGGACATTTTGCATTTCAGGGACAATAGAGATGATTTTAGACTGTTATAAGTGAGAAGATAGGCATTCAGAGTTTTGGGGAAAAGAGCAATACTGCAAACTAAGCCTCTCTATGGGTGAGTGTCTCGACTATTCTGCCTGGGGTTGGTTCATGATGGCAGTATAAAAACATATCTATGATGCCCTGGCCTAGCCTAAATTTGGATCTCCTCAGCATGAAGGTTGATATTTCACCATCTCCGTTCACTTCTCCCAACACTTTCCCATTGTAAAGGTGTATAACTCACATACATACAAGTAATAATTCCCTTCCTTCATTTTATGAATGACAGCAAGCACTTCTCAATGCCATGCCAGGGGTTAATCACCACACTCATGGGTTTTTTGAACCCAGATTGCCTATCAGGGATGTTAGGAATGAGGACATTACCCCAAAACTATCCTAATCCTAAAGGCAATTGAATTCTTATTCTGAGCAAGCTTGTTTCTGCTCCTTGAAAAGGCCTTGGACAATTAGAACTGAACACAGTATCCACAAATGAGAAGATGACTATTATGGGAAGGGCAAGGGATTAAGCACTTCTCAAGAATGAGGAACATTTCTTTTTGGATGGGATTGTAGTTCTAATCACCAGTTAGGCAAGTAGGCCGAGCAAAAGAGAAGAAGCAGTTGATAAGGCCTCCCGTCATGAAAAGCCACCACCCCTCAACTCACCGCAAGGAATCGGAGACGGATGACGTCCTTCTCCTCTCCAATGCGGTCGGCTCGGATCCTCCGACGACCTCCCGAGAGCAATGTCGCCCCTGCAGGTTACAAAAAAATGCATAATATAATAAATATGCAACACCTCCCAGCTCCTCAAACAGCTTACAGGAAACATCTGTCTGAGATCATCTGAGAACAACTTCAAATCTGGTATAAAGCCACTCATTCTTATACATTGCAATACTTACCAGCAATTTCATTCAAAGAAAGATTATTGACCACTCAAGGGGAGTATTTCATTCAATCATGTGTTTACAAAGTGACAAAAGGAGGTAAGCTAATCAGTTAAAAGAGGCCATTTGAGGGTATGAACAAAATAGGTTAAAAAGGCAACACTGGAGGGCCTACTTTGCACACAAATTCCCCCTTCTCATTTTTTTTTGTGCAGACTGGTGTCTCTCTTGAGGGCTGCTTGTGCTTCCAAGGAAGATGTAGAGATGGTTCTACTAATCATCAATGCATCACCCAGGAATATCAATGCCATCTGTGAAAGAAATACTCAGTTGATTAAAAAAAAAGGCCTGAAATGATCATGATTACAGGGAAAGGAAAATATAAGTACAACATCAAGTTCAGCAATGACACTGATTGTTAGATTGCAAGTTTGCTGGTGAATGACCTGATAGTGAAGACTGTGGGTTCCCTGCTCCAGGAAAGTACAATGTCAACGAGACCCATATCTAAGCATAAATTGATGGAAAAAAAACTAGCTTCTAGCATATCCCCAATGATCAGGAGAAAACAATGTCTGTACAAGTTAGAATCTGTGCATAGAGTCTCTAAACCCACCTGTAATTTTTGGAACCCGACCCGATGGACCCGATGCAAATCTCAGCCGGTGCCCCACACGTAACTCGATCGGCCCAAAACGAAAGAATCTCCTGCCGTGTTTTCCTGTACCTTTCGTTGTCATTTAAGGCTGCAATTCATGAATAGATGATAATCCCTCAGTCTCCTTATGTATCATTTTTCTTAATATATCCTCACAAGACATTCCAGTCCAGATACACACTGCCTGTAATCCCAGTGAAGAAGCAAGATTCAAAGAAAAATCACACCAGGTATTCAGCCAGAACCAACTCAACCTGAGGATGGACCTGCAGAAACTCAGCCTCAAACGGCCTGCACCGTCGAGCAGAGTCGTGAGCACCCATCCGTGCGACCATTGATGGTCTTCGGTCGTATACTGCATTCCACGTGTCTTTTCGGAAGTGAGTTCCCATTCCATAAAAACTGGTACTAATTATAGTCAACTTATGAACTGCATAATGCACTTTGAGGCCAAGTAAAAAAAAAAAAAAATCATTGACAGTGAAGAGGTCAAAAGCAGTGAAATTAATCCTTAATGTCTCTACCTTAATGCTAATTCATGAGCAGTCCATGTTTTTAAATGCCTAAACCAAACTTGCAGTCCAAATATGGAAAATCTCACTGAAATCCAAGCAAAATTGAAGATGCTCAAAGGATAACTCATCATTAAAATGATGCTGCTAGGCCCTCATCCAAGTGATTCTCTCTTCTCTTTTCCTGCAGCGACCAGATATCACTCCCACGAAAGCACACGAGCGCCACAGCCACCTCACGAGAAGAAAATTTGCACGGAGAAAACTTGTTTCACGAGATCCCAGTCGAGACGGTTGCCTCGCAACGAAACCCCTTCATCCGAGATCAAAAGACAATCGATGGGAAAAGCGAACGGTTCATCCAGGCCGAGGCAACGTTACCTCCTGCCAGACCAAACATTTACCATGCTAAGAAAGTTGAGGAAGCAGGTAGGCCTGCCTGATTCAAGTTTCGACCTGTGTGTGGAAATATCTCGAAAGCGAAGGGCTAGGCCTTCCAATTCCATCGCAAATTTCAAGCATTTTTCCAATGCATAGACAAATTTGAAGCGAGTCCCATGTTCATGCTTTCGGCTTAAAGCATGAGGCCGATGGAAACCCCGGACCCATCAGATCGGGATGGAGTCTTCCCGCGAGCACGTGGCGGGCTTCTAGGCTCCGAGGCTGTCATTCTCTGACGTCACGTGACGTCACGCCTGCTGAATCCCGTCATGGGGCGCCGATGCGATTCTTCCCTATTGCCGATGCGATTCTTCCCTATACCTTTAATGTAAGGGCGCCTCCACACTTAATTAGCCTAGTCTAGTCTGTTATAGTCCAGTCAAGCCGGGCGAGTCGTAGTGCGCATGCACAACTTTCAGTCTCCTTCAGTCAAGTCGACTTTTACAGCTCCATTGCTAAACATGCCCTTTCTGATGTCCACTTCACAACGCATCGGTCGAGCCTAGTGGAGTCCTCGTCGGTCACGTTTAGTCGAGACGCAAATAGGCACCGGCTCAATTTTTCCGTCAGTCTTCATCGGTCGGTCGGTGTGGCGTGGGACTTCAAGGCATGCGTGAAATCAGTTCCTAAGTGGAAGTACTGACATCTTTGATTCGCCTCAGACCTACGAGACTTCCCCCTGCTTGTTACTTTTTTGCGTGCCACCTCCTCATCGCCATGCCTCAACTCCGTCTTCCGGCCCTGCCAGCGCTGCTCTTTACGACGAATCAGCACGACACGGGATCACGCTCGTGCGACCCGTATTCAAAGTTCACCGGGGGGAAGGCAATAGGCCATGGGGTGCACGTGACCGAACGAAGTCGGATGTTTACAAGTCACCGTCCGATTCTTTTCGACTGTCATTTGAAAGGGGATTCAGATGCAAGTGATAATTTGCACGGAGGCGCACGGTCCTTTACTTTTATATTTCCTGCCTAAGAATGGCGTGGAACGTAGAAAGAGGGCGCTACAGTCGAACTGCTACGCCATCTTGAGGCATGTGGTAAAGCCTCTTAGACTCACGAACCTCTCTTTCAAGTGTCAGCTGCATTTAACTGTCCCTTGGAAAGTTAGGTCCAGTCAAATTAATGTGGTGACTTTGTAACGACAGTGCATTTAGGATATTATCGCCTAGCGGTTTGCGGCCATGTTGCGCCGCCACGACCGATTTAAAACTCACTTTCCTGGGACTCCGATTGAAGTACGGACCTGCTTCTTTTCCATCTGTTGGCTATTCTCAACAATTCCGACCATTTGGAAGTTATAATTGAATTCCGACACGTACGAGCACAGATCATTTTACCATTTAAGGTGAAATGATCCACCTCTAAACAGTGTAAATCGACATTTCATAACTTTGGTAGGGGGGACATATATCTCAACATCTTTTAATGTCCAAAGTCGATTGCAAATTCGATGTATCAATTTTATTTGCATGATTTAATGTGTCTCTCCCATAGAGAACGAAAGAGCGTTTTTTCAAATCACCCTATATTACATTTGATGAAGCGTGCGAAGTTCTCGATGCGGAAAAAATAAATGAATGAAGCTAGCCTCGAAGATGAATGGAGAATCCACAAGAAAACAATCTAAATCAACGACGCAACCACACATCGCGCAGCGAGCAACCGGGAAGAGCCCACCCGACCCGGCTCCCCCACCCAACCCGGCTCCCCCACCCGACTCGGCTCCCCCACCCGACTCGGCTCCCCCACCCGACCATTGGAGTCCATTCGGTCCTTCGAGTCACTCCGTCGCCCCGCCTCATCCATCTGCGAAGGGAAGAGCGGGATGGAAGGAAATTCAGGTGGCCCAAGTGCTTGTATTGCATTACTTCCTCTGATGAATTTGAAGTCAATCCTATTCCGCGCTCACCTCTTGTACAAGCCCTGGTTTTCTCTCCTAAAGGATTGCGCCCACTGTAAAATTCAGGTAACCGCAAAAGTTTTTGCCGTTCATGTGTTATATTATATTATCGTTATCAAGTTAAAAGATACGAATGGTAGTAGGCGTAACTGCCTTCTTAAAACAACCCATAGCTTAAACATTTGTTATATATTGCTTGCGTGTTAATATCATCTAATTTAGTAAAGCCAAGAAAATATTTAAATGGAGTCGTCGTCGTCGAAGCTTATCAGATGTTGTTTACTCTATGAGTTTAAACTTGGGAACACTACTGCAGAAGCCACTAGACGAATACGTTTAGCATTTAGAGAGGATGCTGTAAAGGAACGCACAGCAAGAAATTGGTTCCAAAAATTCCTAATCGGGGATGAATCGCTTGAAGATGCCGTAGCGGCCGTCCTGTGACCATCGACAATGAAGCCTTGAGATCTGCCATTGAAGAAGATAGCAGTCGAACAAGCGAAGAACTTGATCTGATGTTCAATGTTAATGATGAAAGCATCAGAAGGCATCTGCACAAACTTGGCAAGACATACAAGTTGAGCAAATGGGTCCCACACGAATTGTCTGATGCCAATAAACAACAACGTGTGTCAGCTTGCTTCGCCTTGCTCGCCCGCCACAATAAAGAGCCATTTCTTGATCTCTTGCTGACGTGTGATGAAAAGTGGGTCCAATATAAGAATCCTACAAGGAAACGACATTGGCTGTCCACCACGGACCCTGCACCACAAACCTCAAGGCCACCACTTCATCGACGTAAGGTGCTCCTCTGTGTACTCGTATGATGGACAGCTTGTGGAATTGTCCATTTTGAGCTGCTGCAGCCTGGCCAAACCATCACTGGTGAACTCTATTCGCAGCAGCTTCAACGTGTTCATCAGGCATTGCAAGTGAAAGAAGCAGCACTTGTTAATCGAAAAGGAGTACTGTTCCTTCAAGATAACGCCGTCCACATACTGCTAAAGTTACCAGAGACGCAATCCAGCGTCTTGCATGGGAGACTTTGCGTCATCCACCATATTCGCTTCATATTTCTCCTTCTCATTATCACTTGTTCCTGGCCCTTGACAATCATCTGCGTGGACAGGAGTTTAAAAACGACAGGGAGGTGCAGGACGCTATAAAGGCTTTCTTCTCTTCCAAAAACAGGGACTTCTATGAGAATGGTATTTA